CACTTAATTATAACACTTATTATAATTTAAAACACTTATTATTTACACACACACTCTCATTAATTTTGCACACACTCTCATTAATTTTGCACACACTCTCATTAATTTTGCACACACTCTCATTAATTTTGCACACACTCTCATTAATTTTGCACACACTCTCATTAATTTTGCACACACTCTCATTAATTTTGCACACACTCTCATTAATTTTGCACACACTCTCATTAATTTTGCACACACTCTCATTAATTTTGCACACACTCTCATTAATTTTGCACACACTCTCATTAATTTTGCACACACTCTCATTAATTTTGCACACACTCTCATTAATTTTGCACACACTCTCATTAATTTTGCACACACTCTCATTAATTTTGCACACACTCTCATTAATTTTGCACACACTCTCATTAATTTTGCACACACTCTCATTAATTTTGCACACACTCTCATTAATTTTGCACACACTCTCATTAATTTTGCACACACTCTCATTAATTTTGCACACACTCTCATTAATTTTGCACACACTCTCATTAATTTTGCACACACTCTCATTAATTTTGCACACACTCTCATTAATTTTGCACACACTCTCATTAATTTTGCACACACTCTCATTAATTTTGCACACACTCTCATTAATTTTGCACACACTCTCATTAATTTTGCACACACTCTCATTAATTTTGCACACACTCTCATTAATTTTGCACACACTCTCATTAATTTTGCACACACTCTCATTAATTTTGCACACACTCTCATTAATTTTGCACACACTCTCATTAATTTTGCACACACTCTCATTAATTTTGCACACACTCTCATTAATTTTGCACACACTCTCATTAATTTTGCACACACTCTCATTAATTTTGCACACACTCTCATTAATTTTGCACACACTCTCATTAATTTTGCACACACTCTCATTAATTTTGCACACACTCTCATTAATTTTGCACACACACTCATTACACACACTTATATTTTAAAACACTCTCATTAATTTTACACACACAGACCGTTATTATTTACACACACATTCATTACACACACTTAGTATTTTTTGCAGATAATATGGATTCTGAATATCAACAACGTGTCCCACCTACTGCTTCAAATAGACGACGTCGTGAATTGGATGTTGACCATGAACGGGGACAAGGGTGTGGGCGAGGATGAGGTCGAGGTCGTGATCCAGTTTCGGTAGAATATGATATTCTCAGTGCCAGTCAAAGTGGGGGCCGAAGCCAAAGACGAGTTGAAGGTTATGATATGCCTAACATTGCTGTGGAGGATACCTCTTTACCTGATTCTCCTCTTGTCCAGGAAGAGTACCTTACTCATGCTTTTCCAGGTGGACCGACTTATCCGTCAATACTGCAGAGTTTCAATAGTCATGTGGCTGCAGCTATTTGGCACGGGGAGGTAAACATTCATTTGTATATGAGTTTTCTTGTTTTTGTGTGTGTGTTGTATGGTAGTTTGTAATGAGATATCATTTGTGTTGTAGGAACGAGGGCCCCTAAAGTGTCATAATCACTCTTCCAAGATCCTTGCATGGCCATGGTGGTTAGTAGAGAACAACACCAGATTCAAAGCCATTATTGAGCAGTCTGGACTGTCACAGTTAGCTCGTTGCACTTATCAGTTCGTCAACAAGCTTCTAATCTCCAGTTTTGTTGAGAGATGGCAACCTGAGATGAACACATTTCACATGACAGTTGGTGAGATGACCTTGACCCTGGATGATGTTGGCACTATTCTTGGCCTTCCCATTGTAGGCAAATCAGTCAGCATACCAGATGTGACAGATCATCATGGAGTTACATTACTCATTTATGGCTTGGGGATTACTGAACGTGCAGTACATGAAGAGGTTTCTTCTATTGGTGGCAATTCAGTCAGGCTTGAATGGTTGCGAAATCAGTTTACTGGTGTCACAGATTCAGACCCCAATGAGGCTATACAGTGCGCTGCAAGAGCTTATTTGTTGTTTCTGTTGGGATGTACACTCTTCAATGACAAGAGTGGCGGCAGGGTTCCCGTTGTTTACCTCGGCTTGTTGATGGATTTGGGATCCATACATACTTATGCCTGGGGTGCTGCTGCATTAGCATTTTTATATAGACAGTTGGGGTTTGCTAGCCGGTTTGGGGTTAAGCAGATGGGTGGTTATATGACTCTTTTGGAGGCGTGGATTTATGAGCACTTCCGAGCATTCCGACCTCATCAGAACATGGGCTACACTGAAGACATGCCACATGTGTACCATTGGGCATCTAGGAGAGAGGCGGGTTCCTCCATTGACCATTTGAAATCTTTTCAAGTCGAGCTTGACAGTTTAGTAGCTACTAATGTAAGTTTACTCATCCTGCGATAATTTTAAAACTTCTATTTATCTTACCCTTTATGTACTTTAATGCAAAAACACTTTACGTTTACAAATTATTTGGGATCCATACCACAGCTGCAGAGATCGGCATCCATATAACCCGGTTACGTTCTACCATGGATGCTTAAAGTGCTTAGACGTTGTCGAACCCTATTATCCAGATAGAGTTTTGAGGCAGTTTAGCAGGGTTCAAACCATCCCAGATGCACCGCTAGCTCCCAGTCGTGGTGCGCGAGGCAACATATCTGCACGATATACAGTCATGTACAGATACTTGGATAGGATCTGGGAGGCTTGGGATAACCACGTGTTATCTGAGCAACGGAGGAGCACACCAGTTCGTCAGCCTTGGCAATGTGTACGGGGTTACATGGATTGGTATAAGAATATCACACACCTATATGTAGAGCACACTGATGAACCGCGTGTCCATGACTATCAGGATTTCAGCGAACATGCGGATGTAATCTATTATCCTCTCTTATGCATATGTAACTTACTTTTTTTTTTTTTTTTTTTGTTCCCTAAAATGTGATATTCTTTTCAAATGCAGCGTATTGCACATGCACTGCAGATTTCACATCCTATTATTGACGCTGGTTATCAGGAGGGGATTCGACATCCTTATCGACTTTACCAGGCTATCGAGAGTATGACACATGTTCTTAAAGGTCAGCACATTGACGAAGCTGGACCTAGTTCTGCTGGAGGTCGCTTTCCATCTTCGACATTGACATACAGTCGTAGTCCTAGGCGTAGGCATACAGCTGATTCGTGACATACAGTCGTAGGCCTAGGCGTAGGCATACACATGTTTTTTGGTGTTTTTTGTAAGATGACATTGTTGCAATGGTAACAATGGTTAATATTTTCTTATTAGAATGGAATGGCAACAATGGTATTGTAATGACATTGTAATGACATTTTATTATTAGAATGGAATGGTAACAATGGCATATCCATTAACAATGCTTTCTCATCCTTTGATAGCCTCCCCGCATATGAATGTCCCTCGAGGTGCTCCGCAGGTGGATGATTATGCAATCCGCATACTACGGTCAATGTCCATTCATCGTGTGTGGTAAACCTGTGAGCCCTCATATCAAAAGGACAACCTCATATCATTTGGTGAGCAATTCGAAACATAATCGTTATAATTTCGTAGACTGAACCTGTTCAGTTGTGAATTGAGTGGTGTAATCTAACACAAAATCCGCGCAAACCTGACTTCCTTGAGTTGACACATATTCCTGCATGTTTTGTATAACATTACAAATTTTTAATGGCATTATAAAGATTAATTTGCAATTTGAAATTGTAAATTTGGTATGCAGTTTGCAAATTTGGAATATAAAATGGAAAAAAAAAAAAAATTTACTTCATTTGAAAGTAGTTGTTCGAATTTTTTTTCAAAATTCGGAAGTTGAATGTTGTAAAAGTTAACTTTGTTCGGACAACAACTTTCGAATTTAAATACATTGTTCGGACAACAACTTCCGAAATTTATTACTTTGTTCGGACATCAACTTCCGAAAATAAATGATTATTTCAGTAGTAGATTTCTGAATCAAATAACACAATTCGGCTCTGGTTATCCGAACGACGCTGGAAAAAAAAAATTTAAACTCACATTTCCTTCGCTTTGCTTCACATGAACACTTATTTGCTGATTTTCAGAAGGCAAATCCTCCATAACAATGATGTTTTCCCTACGGAAATGCCAAAGCCCTTTGGTTTCACTTCTAGCTCAATGAACTTGGAAGAAGCTATGAATGACACTGGTTCACTGGTTCTCAATCCTCAATGGTTCACTGGTTCACTGGTTCTCCTTCCATTTTCAAATAAGCATGCCAAACCAGTGGAACAAGCTACACACACGATGCAACAGATGTGAACTCTGAGGTGTGCATTGAGATGTTTTCAATTAACAATGGTGTCTAAAATAGTAATTTCACTTAGGGATAAAATTGTAATAAAATTAAATATCATTAAGCGTGTGTATTGAGGGGATTAGGTGTGTGTATATAGAAGCTCCCATATTTAGAGTGTGGATTTTTAAACAAACAAAATTCAAATTTAAATTTATGGATCAAGTAGTTTTTTTTTTGGTAATTTCTTCTAGGAGAATCTTATGTGTGCACCCTTTTACACTTTGTTTGATTAGGAAATTTAGAAAATGGAAAAGAAAAAAATAGGTAAAATATGAATAAGATATACCTACATTTTATTTAATTTCACACATATTTTCTCCTTCCCTTTCTAAATTTTCCAACCAAACACAACGTTAGGGTGCATACCTGATTCACTATATTATAAAAATGTGTAATTTTCTCAAAAAATTTGTAACATCTACCACAAAATACGTAATTTTGTTATAGATTGACATAACAAAAAATATTGTAATTAAATCACAAACTTTTTAAATATCAATCATAAAATTTTAAACATTTTATTACACTAATTTATAATAAAATTACACATTTTATAATTAATATTAAAAAATTTGATAATAAAATTATACATTTTTATAATATGATTGTTGTAAAATGTATAAATTTATCATTTTATAGAATTACACATTTTTGTAGTCAAATTTTCATTTTGCTGTAAAAGGAAAAGGGCAATCGATAAACAGATTGAAGTCGGACCTCCCAAGCTGCTCTACTTGTACTACTACTACAGTTGATTCTGTGTTTCATAGTTGTCAGATCTGATACCTTCGTCGAATCGAAGTCTCAAACATCACTTGTTTCACTCAAATACAATCGTTGTTGGCATCGAAAACGTTGAATTACACGCGCAATGGATGCATTGAGAAAGCAAGCGACCAAACTCAGAGAACAAGTCGCCAAACAACAACAGGTAAATAAATCATAATTGTTCACTCGCTTGTCTTGTTTGGTAGCTGAGAAAATGCAAGAAAAAGCCCAGAAATTAAAATTTACAATCAGATTGATATTTCACCTGTTGGGTCACGGTTGCCACATTGGGAAGCGAAGTTGTGTAAAATGTCAGATTGGTTTCTCTTTTATTTGTCTTTACTTGCTTTTCTCCCCAGAAATTAAATTGAATTGCTATCTTGTGTTCAGAATTTACTTACTAGTAAAATATGTAATTTCTGTGTGGTGGGGTGGTGGTTTGGTTTGGTTTTGTCTTGTTTGAATTGATGATACATAAAACTGAATTGGTGAATTTATTATGTACTTTGTGAATTAAGGCATGGTTATTCTATGCAATCTTGGTGCCAAATTATCATATTTATGTTTATACATTCTAAGCTCATCTCCAATCCTTACTCATTTTTGTATTTATAGATTTGAGTAAAATTTTGCTGAAAAGTTTGGAGCACTCAATGTTTATTTTTATTTCTCTTTTCTTTTTTCTTTTCATTATGTATTTTTAAAAAATTTCCTACTTATCCATAAACCTCTTTTAACTATTTTTTTGATGAGAGAAAACCATCTCCGACCCTACTCTTTTTAAAATATCTCAAGGTTAGGAGTGAAAATATGATTGTTGGGAATTTGACAAGGATTTGGTTCATCCTTGATGTGATGAAGGATTTGTTCTACTTTAACTTGATTCAACTTTTTTGAAACGACTTGAGTTCATTTTTAGCCATTTTCTCAGCAAATTTGAATTTGCTGGAGGAATATAGATGCCCTTAGTCACTGTTTTTGGATACTTGCACTGATGTAATCAAAGAGTACCCACTAATGGTATAAGAAATGCACTAGAGAGGGGAAATGTTTCTCCTATGCAAGATTTAGTAAAAAAATTTGATTTTATCAAGAATCAAGAAACTTAGGGCTTTTGTTGCGTGAATCTTGTTGATATTGGTTGAAAGCAACTCAAACTTATTTAAATTTTGCGACTGGGTAGCGACTATTGTAGTGAGAAACATGTGTGGGACTTGGAGAGCAATATCATAACAAAAAACTAGGGGGAGAGAGAGAGAGAAGGGAAAGATAGATCTAAACCTTGTTGAGAGTCATCACTACTCAATTGATGTGGGATTGGTCACTTGTAGCAAAAAGGAAATTATACAACTATAGCTTATTGTGTCTTTGATGTTACAAAGAATTCTACTATAAGAAACATTTTAGAAATCGAACCTGTATTTGCCTCAATAGATATTTCTCCTTTTATTATTTTGAATGATTATTATCTCTAAATTGGTGATGTAAATATATGTATTTCAGGCTGTAATAAAGCAGTTTAGTGGGACCAGTTATGAAAGTTCTGATGTGATGGTCATTGATGAGGTTGAAATGCAAAGACATCAACAGTTAGAGAAATTTTACAGGTCTACTCGTGCAGGAAAGGTAAGATGTTTCAACTAGTTCAACGGTTAAAATTAGACTATTAACCTTGAGGTAATGGTTAAACTGAAGTCAACCACTTTGTACAAATAATTCCAAATGTTAGAACTTAGGTCTGTAACTTATCTATCCTTCCCAGACCCCATCAACGGAAACTAAATGGGCTGTACATATGGCATCTAAAGTTATATAATTTTTGGTTTTGAATTGAATGAGTTTGGATTGCAAATCACTATAGATTGGAATGAGGAATTTTTTTTTATTCTTATCCAGGCATGGTGTAGGTGGTAGAGGTTAGAGGTAGTCGGTTGTTGACCTTCAGGAAGATAAAGTTGGTGAAGTGCTTGCCATCTTGCTCAGGCTGACCTATGGGAATATGGCGGGCACTTCACCAACTTTATCATCGACACTTTTGAATATTTTCCAATGACAAAGTTGTAGTCACCTCACCAACTAGCTCGGGTTGAACAAGGCCAGAAACGCCTCGCTCAAACCTATTACCATGACCAGTCTTGGCTCTCAAGGTATCAATGCATTCCTAGAACTTGGCACATTTTGGGAAGAAGGTCTGGTACCTATCATACCACAGCCAAGATCGTCTTCAACATCATCCCCTCATAATTTCGGTATTCTTATCCAAGCTTGCCTTACCATCCTCAGAACCCTTTGCATCATCTTCAATGCTTTCCAGCCATCTATAGGCATCAAAGCCCACCTTACTCTTCCCTATCCTAGAGGAAGGGTTTGCTGGAGGAAAATCACCAATGCCAGGTAGCCATTCCACCGCCAAATCCATGGTAGTGTCACCAAGAAGGTCACAATCCCTTCTAGAGGATCTGAAGGAATTGAATGACCAGCATCTTGAGAACCATCAGTCAATGAGGCCTTATGTTGCACTAATTTTATCCAACGAACATCCTTTGCCGCCTACAAACAACTGAGGTGTTTTAATGCAAACATATTCAAAACACTAAAACCAAATTAAAAATGTGTTACACAATTTGAGTACGAGCACAAGTTTACCTTGGTTAGTTGGAAAGAACTGACCAAGCTGCTAGGGCAACTCCTTATTTTGCAAGTGACCCCGGTAGCGATACATGTATTCAGGCCTCTTGACTTTGAATGCACTCTCTTAGCAACAAGAACAGCAACAAAAGCAAGGGGTGGCCTTTTATGTTTGGCATAGGGGACAGTGTCAGAATGGAACAATTGAACTTGGTCTAACATAGCTGCTACCTTATCCAACCGAGCCAGTGGGTTGAGCTCACCCTAATTGGCAACCGATGAGCCCCTCTCCTCGTGAGGCATACACAACTCACTGTCATTGGACAAAACAAGCTCTAGATGCCACTCAAATAAAACAACAATCCATGGAGTCATGGTGGAGTATAAGGAATTTATCTATGGGTTTCTAATTTATTTTATTTTCATATAACCATGAGTGCGATTACAACCATAAAATAAATCCATATAAAAACCCGAAACAAGACATACATAACTAATCAAAATAAGAAAAATCAATCCATCACAGAATTTGCATTCCCCAAGAAAGGTACGCCTAGCTCAAGAATAAGCTCACAATCATCTCAAGCAATATTCAGTAGTCGAGGCAACCCCACAAATTAGCCTAATATAAGGATGGGCAATGAATTTATCCTCAAAGTCAAAAATGCTGATTAAATCCCACGAATAGTCCCTTTAGTCCATTGGATTGAACGAGGCTTACTGTATCCAATAGAGAATGACCTTGTCATAGGAGCTAGGCTAGGAAACCGTTCACACAAAACTAGTTGTAGAGATAATGTTTGAAGATAGCTAATAACGTCATACTGCCCTTTAGAACGATAGGCGCCCTCTTAGAATGTATCCGACCGCCTATATAAACCCCCAGAAATAAAGGGGCCAACAGAATTGGACGTCCAGAGGCAAGAATGGCAACAAACAGGAACAACTCATAACATATACCATCTTGGGGTCTACCAATCATGATATAATGTGACAACCAATATGCAATAAAAGTGGCTAAGTGCTTAGTACTCCCCCACTTTTCTCCCTCCATACCAGGATCCATTACTCCATTCTTTGGATCACCTTTTACTTGTTGGCTATGATCTCGGAACCAGTAATGCGACCAACCCCCAAAAGTGTTCTTTATTGTCACCCCCGCAACGGAGGTTCAATCGATACTTTGTTCTGGTATTGACTCAGCATCCGCCCTGTTGGGTTCATATAGAGATCTCCAATTTGGCAACTATAGCCTTTTGACTAAGGGACAAACTACTAGCACTGAGGTTCACCAAGCCGAGGTGTTCTAAACTAGTCAAAACAGTCACATCCTCCAAACAAGATGGATCCCACTTGACCCGTATACATTGACAAATTGCAGTATCAATCTTAGATTCGGTCAACACCTCGTAATACGAGGGATGGTGAAACATGGCCACACTCCAAATGTTGAAGTCATCCTTAACCCTTGTATAATCCTCAAAAGCATGAAAAGAGTAAGGATAGTTGCCCCGCTCCACATGAAAATGCACAATGGACGCAGGAGGAATAAAAGCTTCTACCAATCCCTCGGGTTTGACTCAATCAAGAAGAATTTCATAAGGGCTCTCTCCATCCTCATTAAACAACTCTGCCCTTTTCCAAAACAAGCTTGAAGAGCCAAAACAACTCTGCCTTCACCAATAGCCTGAGGTTAGAAAATTGGGTGGGGCCGTTGTGTCTTTTTTAGCTTTATAAGGACATTTTTTTGGTCTCGTCTCCCTTTTATCTGAAAGTAATAGATGAATCTATTGGTGGTTGTTGAGATGTACTAGGGCGAGGGACAACACCTCCCCCCTTTACCTTTGCCATCTCCAAATGGCATGGCCTGCATGAACCCAAAAACCAAAAATCAAAATTCGCGTTCATAAAGCAAAATACGTTCAATATAAGTTGAAATAAGATGGACATCTTACCTAAAACTGGCGCAACACACTCAACAACAAAGACGAATGAGAAAAAGTGAGTGTTGATCCAAAGGTAAGTGTAGTGCCCACCTGCAAACATAAAGAAGAGCTACACATTACAAAGGAAAAGGTACAACTTACAATTTTAAGCCTGCCTTACTAACAAGAAAACATACCAAGCTTCGAAGCTCAAAGGGAAAGACCCACGTGGAAAAAATCACTCGTCCTTTGCTGTCCAAGCACAACTTCGCACTCGAACTCACTGTGTCATTCAGCAAGATAAAAGTAAGTTCTTGGCGGAGAGCACCTCAACCATAAACAAAATTCAAAGTGAAGGAATTTACCTAACTGCTCAAATGGCTAAACTAGCCCTCCATGCTCTAACTTGCTCCTAACTGGCTTTTGACAACAACACCGGGTTCAATCTGTCTTATGTCGCACAAGTAAGCAAAAATTGGGAGCACAAATTTAATCACTAAATGACGCAATTAGTAAAAGAGTAGAACAAGAAGGAAGTAGGAAAACTTATTATAGCCAAACATTGGGCAAAGCTCACAACTATCCAACCCGGCTTGCAAACCACTTTGCTTGAATAGCTCGCTCTAACCCCTCGCTCGCCTTCAAGTCACGCTCCAAGTAATATAGGTTGCATCCGACTTAGTCTAGAATAAATTTGTTTGAATTAGGTTCGTAAATTGATCTTGTCGCTTCACCTTGCTAGCTACTCTCCCTCCCCATGCCGATTCGCACTTGCAAATTTTGAGGAAACCCTTTCCAAACCTTGCTTGGCTGGCAACTCTATTGCTAGCTCGCAAAGTAAAAATAAGCAATATTGATCTTGCTTGACCCACTTTGGAGAGCACTATAGAGAGTAATTTGTAACCCCTTTTTCGGAAACTACTTTGAAGAGCAACATGATTTACTTTTAAGCTTGTGAAAATTTCGCTTCTCCAGCCCCCTTTGCTTTGACTCTCAACATAGCAAGCTCTCTAGACACCTAGCTCTGGCTCGCAATGTAGCAAGCTCTCCACCAACTCGTGGCTTGTACAATCACTTCCACTGTAAGAGGGACCATTTGTCAGGCTGTGCAGATGATAACCCCACTAAACTTGGAGCAAATACACGTTAACATTATCTCACAAACACCATGACTGAGACACTTGGATCATCACATTTCAATTATACCGGCACCAATGGTAGAGTCGAACACAAGCTTAGGACCAGAATGGACCTTAGAAGAATTTGGCTATCTCAACCTCAAGGAAAGGAGCACCTTCTACAACCCTTGCAACACCCCTATTGAAATTATTGCTATTCAATAGCGAAAGAGTCACTCACCCTAGCTTTCTTCACCATTATATGCACCTCAACGCAATTGCGCACCACTAATTAGGCATTATTACAGAAACAAGGAAGTCAAGTTGAATTCATGAGCAAAATTCTAGGGTATCGGAATACGCAAACCATAGAACCGCTCAACAATGGATTAGAAAGGATGAGAGGAGGTATGTGGTCTTATGGAATGACACGGAAATCTCCTATGAGATTGTGGAACTCCCAGCGCAAGAGACTGCCTCCCAAAAAGTTCACATCTTTATTTAGGTAACTTTGAGGTTGGACGAAAACTAAGGGCTAAAGCTCTATATGAGCATTTGTATGTCCCATCTTCTCAGTTAAGGTCTTGTATAAAAATATTGAATGAAAATTTAGCGCCTTGTTTAAACTGATCATATGTTAATATTTTTAGCATCACTTGTGTACAAATACACTCATTGCTGTTAAGAGCACTTGTACAAGGGGGCATTAATGTGAGTGTCTATACCACACTCGACATGTGGCGAGTCCTTTAGGTGCAACATCATTGCCATCACACGCCTACGTGGCAAACCTCTAAGGCACCATGGTCAATTGAGATTATATGCCCAGCCTAAGTGGAGGCATGCACATCGGCAAGAATGAAGAACTCTAATAAGTGGCCGTCAACCTGCCTACCGCTTACTAAGGCCCTAGGTTCACCTACTAGCCCAATTTGGGTTCTTGGTCCACCTATATTCTCTTGGTGGCCTAAAGTTGAGCCTCTAGCTCGCGCTTGCTCGGCCCTTTGGCCCATATACACTTGCCTGGTAGCCTAAGGCGGGGCCTTGCCTTAATGCTTACTTATTCTACCAACCACTTGGCTACCTAGGATGGGAGCAGGGCCTAGGCATCCCCACTTGGGACATCGAAGGACTGTGGACTGGAGGCAAAGACCACAGGACCGTCAAGATATTGCTTGGTTGCCAAGATAGCTCCACCTTTACCAGATTTAGAGAGGCGCGAGAGGGACCTTACACCCACTCCTTTGCATACATGATATGTTGCCCTCGAAGATATCAGACTCGCCACTCCAGACGACAGTAGAGCTAATATTAGCTCCTTGAGGTGAGGAAAGCCCGCCACGTGTCCCATAGGTTGTTTGGGCTCCAATACTAATATGTCATACATGTAGCGATTATCAACATTCGTTATACAACAACATTTGACCAATACATGATTGTTACTAAAACTTTTCTTGTTTTTGTTTCAAAAAACGCTAAAAATGAAAAAAAAAAATTTGACCAATACTTTTGAGTATATAAATAGGAAAGTTGCCCTCTGTCTCTAATAGCTTAAGCTTTTGGATGAGTTGGTGGTCAACAATTCAACATGGTATCTAAGCTCTAGTTCTAGGTAGTCTTCAGTTCAGGTCCCCTCATCCCCATTATCTTTGTTATTAAGCACTCTGTTTTCCTTGTTTTTTGTGCACCTTGTTCACTCAGTTTGTTTGCCTCTCCACATGTGACGAGGAGTGTACGTTGTTGGGCCTATTTCCCAATTGCTTAAGCTTTTGGAGACAATTGGTGATCTAATAGATACTAAGCAGGGCCTATGTTTTGCCTGCATTTCAGAATATAAGGCATTTTATTTTTCAATGTTTAGCTTTCATTACATTAACCAATTGTAACATACTTCTGTAAGTTCTTTTGCAATACCTAAGAGTGCCCTAAAACACTCATCGTATAAGTTAGTGATGTGCATGAGGGAAGTTCAAGAAAAATATCTTGGAGGGACTTGTTTAAGTGGGGTTGAGCATCTGAATTTTCTGAATAGATAAATTTACTAGTTATGTTGGAAATAAATCAAATAATCAATAGTGTGCTATTGAATGCCAGTCTTGAGTTTAACAATTCTGGGTACCTCAGATTTTTTTTTTTGGTTGATAACATGCCTTTTGAAACATGTTAATTCCCTACGGTCCGTGGCCTCAAGAGTTTTGCTGGCGAGGTGAGTCGAACCTGAGACCTTGGAGGGAGCAATCCCTAAGTCTCAGCCCTCATCTACCAAGCCAAACCCTTGGGGTTTCCTCAGTTACTTATTGTGTCCCTAGAACTTTTTTGCACCTTAATTTTTGTTTTTGATGCAAATAACCAAACCAAACCAACCAAGCCTTAAGTCCCATCAAATGGGGTCAGCTACATGAATTCTTTTTCTCCACTTGACTCTATCAATGGCCATTTGGTTAGTCAAATTAATGAGATTCATATATCTATTTACTACACTAGCCCACGTCAATCTAGGTCTGCCCTTTCCTTAACACTTCCATCTACCGTTATTGTATCGCAACTCTTCACTGCTGTCTTTGTTGGTCTCCATTGTATATGACAAAACCATCTCAATCTATTCTTTCTCAACTTATCTTCTATTGGTACTGCTCTTACTCATTCATGAATATGCTCATTTCGAACTCAGTCTCTTGTAGTCTTGCTACGCATCCATCTTAGTATTCTCATCTCAGCAACACATATTTTATCTACATGTTGTTTCTTTGATGCAAATATGTGAGATAATTTATTAGATTGATGTTATTACTGTTTCATGACCTCATTTCTGCAGGATTTTCAGAAAGATATTATTAAAGCAGCAGAAGCATTTACGGCCATAGGGTACAAGAATATTGAAGCAGGCAAAACATGAATTAGTACTGACTGGTTACATTGTTCTGGGGGATATTGTAATGGATGAACTAAACAAGTTGCTTTATCAACATTTGTGTCATAGTAAAACATTATTATTTAAAGAAAATGCTATTCCACCGTAATTTATATACAAAAATTTTCACCAGAATGATGTGGTAGTATCATTTGTGTAATTAAATACATCTCAATGGGCTCTTTATTCTGAAGTGATATCCTCAAATCTCAGTCAGGTCAATACATATAAGTTATTTTGTATGGATTTTTTGTTTGTATATCACCACTCATTATTTAACGGTCCATTATGTATTTGAACTGAACTTTATTACTATTATGATAATCAGGAACCAAGTTGTCTGAGGATTGTTTCAGATATGGAGTTGAGAACGTTGATGACAAGAGTCTAGCTAAGGCTGCATCTCTATATGGCGATACCCGGAAACATATGGAACAGGAACAAGAAGACTTTAATAGGCAATTATTTTCTCAGGTTTGTGCTATCTCTATGGTTAGCAACTATCAAATCAGTAGTGCTTCCTTTGGGATGACTACTTGTTATTCATGTATTTCCATCACATAAATGCAATATATCAGTTAATTCTAAATAGAAATGAACATATCTTGTGATTCCTTTTTGAGTTTCTTTGAGATGCTAATTAGTTGTATATAAAACATATAAGCTACTTGATTGTGTGATTCTTTCATATTGAACTCCATCTTTTTTTCTACCTATAGCATTTGAAGTTAGAAGGGCCTTCTTGTGGTTGTGTTGGATAAAGGCACACATGCATGACTCTTTTATTTAAATTGCCAAAATTTGGATTTGTTTAATTAAAATTAATTTCTGCTTTTTGATAATTTGGAGTGAGAAGAGCACACAATAGCAAAACACAACATTTAAAGAAATCTTGTTTGATAACAATTTGAAAGAGGCTAGTTAATCTAAATGGTGAATGATCAACCCCACATATTTTCAACCAGTTTACTTTCTTCATATTCAAAATTGAGCTATTTATTGTAACTATCCTAAAAATAGAAGTATGAACCTAACATTTTCTATACCCAGATTTTAGAACCATTGAGAGCAATGGTAACTGGGGCTCCTTTGGAGGATGCTCGTCATCTTGCTCAACGTTATAGTCGAATGAGACAAGAAGCAGAGACACAGGTAATCAGACAGCTAGGCTTCATTTATCTCGGGAAAATATTTTTCCTTGTGGCTGCAATTCAGATTGCCTAATCATAATAGTAGATCCTTAATATATTTTTTTATAGTTTTAATTGACCATAAAAGGAAACAGGCAGCAGAGGTTTCTAGAAGACATGCTCGAGTAAGGGAAGCTCCCATTCCTGAAAATGTGGCAAAGTTTCATGCAGCAGAATCTAAAATGCATGAATTGAAAGCAAATATGGCAGTACTGGGTAAGGAAGCCGCAACTGCATTGGCTTCTGTAGAATCACAGCAGCAAAGGTTGACATTCCAGAGGCTTGTTTCATTGGTATGTCTGCGCTTCTGGAATTATTATTCTAATGTCACATATAATCATATGGTTTTGTATTTACTTTTTAAGTTTATTCTTCTGAAGGTTGAAGGTGAAAAATCATATCATGAAAGAATAGCTACCATTCTTGGTGGGGTTGAAGCTGAGGTGAGTGTCTGCCTACATTCTCTTTTTTCCAGAAAAGAAATATTTGTACATTAAAACAATTTATGTTTGTGGGATGACCTGGAATTTGGTGGTAGATGGTCTCAGAGAAACAACGAAAAGAGTCTGCTCCTCCTGTAATTCCATCCACCTACAGCTTAGAGAAAACAAAGTACTTCTTGGCTGAGGTATTTTCTAAATTTCATGAATTTCTGGCCATTAAAGGATATGTTTCCAATTCCCAACTAGCTTCGGGGAGGATTTTATTTATGGTAGAATTACTGGAAAGTCCCTTTTCAGGAACTTGCTTACTTGTGATCCAATAAGTCCTATATATTTGAAATTTTATTCTAGGAGATATATATTTATTTTTTTGAATTAGATGTGTGTTCATGATAACTTCACCCTTGTTTTGGTCAACATGCTTATATGGCAACATTTTGTTAATAGCTGTTGATCTGTGGGCCCAAGGCCGTTCTGTACACTATGTTGGGCCTAAGGCCGTTCTGTATAATATTAGGCCTGAGGCCGTTTTGTAATTGTTGGGCCTGAGGCCGTTTTGGAAATGGTTCTGAAATAAGATCAAACATGTAATTTATATGTTTATGTGTATTGTAATTCGTAATTGTTCGTCTAAAACTTGTTACATACTATTATTCACTGAGCTCACTCCGTGTTATGTCTGTCTCTGTAGGCAATCAGCTCGGAGGTCACCCCTAGCCCAGCTCTAGCAGCTTTTCTTTCGTTAACCCCGCAGTGTCCAAGAAGTTTGTTGAAGCTTATTCATTTTTGTGGAGTTCTTTGTATAGCTCACAGCTTTGGCCTCTAGCCTTTTGTCAGATGTAATTAACCATGTATAACTCCCACCACTAATGTTTTGGCTATTCCCCCAGCTGGAGGGTTGGGATTGTACTTATGTATGTATAGTTGTTACTCATTTATATGTTTCGTTATGGGTTAGACTATTCGAATGGTATGTTTTATGATCCTGGAATATAAGCATTAGCTCAATGGATGTTGTTTTAGCTCGATGATTGCTTCCGTTCAGGCCTCATATTGTATAATTATTGAGTTTTGAGACCGTTATCGAGTTGGTCATGCCTAAACTTTTAGGGGCGGGTTTGGGGTGTGACAATAAACTTCTTGATTTTATTAAATTGTCTCGTTTGAATTTGAATTTGAATTTTTAGTTTCACTACAATAAACTTAGAGGTAAATTACATTTTAGGAATGAAATATTTTAGTTGTTAAGAAGGATATTATTGTATTTTAGTAAAGAAATTGACATTTAGTAATGAATAATGCTTTTGGGACCAAAATTTTAGTAAAAATAAATTCTTTTTGACACGAAATTATTTTGCCCCTAAAAATATATTTATTATCGACATTTTTAAAATTATGTCAGTAAAGGTTTTTTTTTTTTATTATTTGGGTTAATTACTCACATATCATGTTACAAGGACATGTGCATTATTAAATCTCACAAGTGTTTGTATAGATAAAAAAAGTCCTAATAGCTGTACTTAAAAGACTTTTTGTGATGATTTTATGAATTTGTCACTTAAAACTAATAATTGGTGACGATTTTCTAAATCTATCACCAAAAAATGACAATTAATTACGTTATTCTGTGACAGATATTTTAAATTGTCGTTAAAAATTAACAATTCATGATATTTTTTATGTAATCACCGCTATAAAAATATTTAAAAAAAAATGATTTTGTTGTAACAATTAAAAGTGAACAAACTTTTTGATGCACTAAAAAGTCAAGAGTACTTAGTGGGGGCATCCATCTTTCTAATAGAACTTTAGTCAGTTTTCCATTCTTTTTTTTTCGGGGACAGTAATCGATCTCGTGACATATTTTGTAGGAAAATTTTCACCTTTAGAATAAAAAAAAGTTTAATTCTTAAAACCTTATATGTTCATTGGATATGAATTGAGTCTTGCTCTGGCAAAGCTACTCTTATTTGATTTCAGTTACTTGTGTCTGAAGAATTTTTTTTAATTGAGTATTTTATTTAGCTTTTTCTTTCTTGGATGTTTTGTATTTCATTAATAATTTGGTTCTATAATTTGAGGGAAAGGATAATAAAAGAGAAAATGACAAAAAAAAAAAAAAAAGGAAAAAAAAAATAGAGTTACTATTATTATATATATATACGAATATAATTTATGTTATCATAATATGAATTTAATATATGGCAAACTAAAATTATGAAACCTTAGAAAATAATAACGTATTTATATTTTATCATAGGTGTAGTTTTTGTTCCTAAAAATAAAAATAAAAAAGTGCAATTTTATAATTTAACATAATTTTTATTTAATTTTTACTAATTACATTATGATTCATCTATTTGTTATTTAGAACTTAAAACATAGCACTAATGGTAGAAAAAAAAAAGAAGTGAAATTGTGATAAAAATGGTTAAAATTTAATTAATTCTATTTTCTTTACTGTATAATTTTGAAATTAATTGTTAATTATTTATTTGAAACCGTGCATAGCACGGGTATTACGCTAGTTACATATGTAGATGTTGGATTCCAAAAAATAATGGAAATCAACAGTTTGTTCTTCTAGTTAGGTATGATTTTCAAATGGATTATTTTTTCCTGTTTTAACGCCCCAATCATCGTGAATCTCTTATTTAATCCCAACTAATATTTTCAATTTTTCATGTTAGGTTTAAGTAAGAATATTCACGTTTACTCGTTACCATCTATATAATTGGTGGCAATTGTGTCATTTTCAATCACATAGGACTAGATGGGTTTCAAGAATTTTAATTGGATTATATGGAACATAAGGCTCCTAAATGGGATTTACTAGTAAATGCCCCTTTATTTATTTATTTTTTAAAATAAAACTTTTCCATTTGATCTTTTAATTAATTTTTTGAAATGAACTTAGATATGTTTTAAGGTCCTTCTGAGGTTCAAAGGGTAGTTTCTGTTGATATTATTAATTCACATACTATGTATTAACTAGTTGATTTGCGAGGGAGGTCAATGTTATTAACTACTGTTGTAATCCATAATTCCTTAAAATGTCTTCCCAGCATGCCTTAAGGCAAATACTTAATAATTGACTGAAGATTTAAGTGCACATTATGCAGGCAATGCATGCTTTTGATGCTGCATCCGAGAAGGAACTGAGTTTGGCAGTTGATGATTATGTTGTTGTACGGAAGGTTCTCTCATATCCTAGAGTCGATCTTTGTTTGTTTGTTTTGTTTTGTTTTGTTTTTGTTTTTAAATTTGCGGCTCTTTTCAGCTGCACGGTCTTTTATCACAAAGTAATTTTGTTATGGTTGTGTTTGGATCTTGGATTTGTGAAGGGATTTGTGAAGATAAATTAGCATCTATTTCATTCACTTTTTTCCCATACCTTGTCTTTTTCCAGTTGGTGATTATGTTGTTGTACGGAAGGTTCTCTCATATCCTAGAGTCGATCTTTGTTTGTTTTGTTTTTGTTTTTAAATTTGCGACTCTTTTCAGCTGCACGGTCTTTTATCACAAAGTAATTTTGTAATGGTTGTGTTTGGATCTTGGATTTGTGAAGATAAATTAGTATCTATTTCATTCACTTTTTTCCCATACCTTGTCTTTTTCCTTCACAAATCCATTTACAAGTCCAAGATCCCAGCACAGGTTATGGGTCAAAATTGAAGGAATATAACTTTCCTATTGTTTTACTGTGGAAATTGTTTCCAAACTAAATTTTTAATGAAAATTTGAGGTTTTAGAAAATGAAAATTTATTTATTGAATTCTTTTGTTAGTAGCTTTCATTTCCCGGAGAGTAATTCAAACCAATGCATGACAATCCTATAGACTATGAGAAATAAACTTCTTGGAAACAAAGTTTTTCTAGTTCTCAGTAACATGTTTTTACTTTTCCTTACGATAATTTAATGCATTCAGGAATAATTCATCATTTGGGTTCTCTTGAAATTTCTCAGACTTCCCTACTATGACATTGTTCACAAAAATCTGGACAATTTTATGAGTTGAATTATCCACAGAATACAAGCAACATAACTTTGATTATTCAGTAATTGTGATGAAGAACTTTATGTATTGTACATTAGGTTTGATTACGGTAGTTGCAGAACATGCAATCAGTAGAAATGCTTTCTAAATCATATCTCAAAACCATCTTTTCCGTAGTTTGAAACATATCCTTTATTTGAAATCTAGTGTTCTTTGCATAAGGATATTGAATTGATTTGAATGACTTCATGTGTCTGCGCAGGTGAGCCTATCGGGATGGTCAGAAGGAGAATGCAGAGGTAAAGCAGGCTGGTTTCCATCAGAACATGTGGAGAAACGCCTGAGGATTCCCACCAGTAGTGCATCTGCTCAAGTTTTTTGAGCTGTGTGGGTACTTGATTTCATCTCCTAGATTGGGCATGTGTAGAGTAGATTCTCTATTGGGTAACTATGCATATTGGGTATATCTGATGTTTGGTTTATTTGTGAGACTCAAAAACTTCTTTTATATATGATTATGCTTATGTATTCTTTCAAATTAGCCTCGGACTTGTATTGTCTCAATTGCTAAAATATTGCTTCTTTGTTGCTTACCAAGATGTTATTGTTGTTGAGTATTAAATTGATTGAGTGAATAAAACCAAATAATCTGTCTAGTATATGGAAAATGATTGCAAAAAAGTACACATGCTAGCATGAAATAGTGGACCCTTTTAGGGGATTCTGTGTTGTTTCTTGTGAAGTATTGTTTTGTCTAGTTTGTTTTAAACGCCAAACATGACAAGGCTACCTTCCCTTCAACAAATGAGGTATGCCCCCCCCCTCCCATCTCTTTCGCCCAACGATTCTGTGTCCCCAAAATCTCAGTCCTCAAATTTTAATGCATTTATAACCAATTACAATTTGGTAAGAATTTCAAAGCATGAGAACCATGAGTCATGATTTTGCGTTTGGGAGTGTATTAGTAGGATAGAGGTTAGTGAGTTTGGAACCAAAGATCTCGTGTCCATTTTTTCACACACGAGTAATTTGTTATTCAGTGCCATTTGTGACATTGACGTGGCCATGTGTCATAGGCAGACTCTTTTGAGAATGCAGCGGAATCAATTTTGGCCCATGAGGTGCTTGAATTCTACCAAGTTCAAAGTCTCCTCATGACCATAAGTGTTGAATCTTCACCCATCTTGTCAAAAGTACGCCCAATGCTTTATCAAGCAAGAACAACTCCCATAGAGAAAGGTTTGCCTTCTGAATGCCACAAGTAGACTTGATGTCCACAGTGCACCAAGCACGGCTCATGTTGCTTTATGGTGCCGAGCTCACCTAAGAGCAGGACGCTTGCTCAACTGAGGCATCCCATGTTAGTGTTGCCCACAACTAAGCCAACTTGATGTTGCCTAACTGTGCACTAACGTAGAACTCTCAACCTAGCTAACAAGCTTCCCCTCTCATGTATATAGGGTCTCTTGTTATGCTTGTCTTGAATAGCCAATGATGATTGGAGGGTCACTTGCACATCTACAACTTAATCCTCATGCTCACATGGGCATGCTAAACAATCCACTAAGGGTCATTGCGCACCCAAGGCGTTGCACTAGCGTATTACACGAGCATGACAATAATAATCTATATCCCACAATTAGCATTTCACCTTTTCGCAAGCTCTATGTGCCTTGCATGATGACAATGCTTTGTGTCATTCAAATGTTTGACCCTCCTTTTCAAGAAAAAAAGAAGCGAGAATTCACCCTACCTAGTCAGGTCAGCAAGTGTTGCCACCAAACCACTAGCTAGGCCACACGTGTTACACAATCTAGGGTAGAACTCACCCCAAAAGCTATAGCTTAAGAGGTGAGGGTGCCCTCGCACTTATATGTTTAATATTATTTTAGTACTTGGGTGATGTAGGACTTCACTTCACACCCTTCCTCACGCCCAACTTGCTCACTTGACAACACCTGTGGCGTACAAGCCAGGGTCACACACCTTACTCATCCCTAAGTACTTCGGCTTTGATACCGTGTTACACGGTCTTGGGTAGAACTCAACCTCAAAAGCTAGCTCAAGAGATGAGGGTGCCCTCACGCTTATATGCTTAATATTATTTTAGTACTTGGGCGATGTGGGACTTCGCTTCACAACAAAGCCCCCATATTCACGACTGAACCGAAGCGCATGTTCATGAGTTGGCACAAGAGGCCTTTTGGTAGTGCTTCAATATCCTATTCCATTCGATCTAGGTTGACACCACAATGTGCTGCAATGCATGATATAGTAGGTTCATATCCCAAACCTCATGCCGAGATTAGATGTGCAGTGTTTGCACTAATGCCTCTCGTGACACTGTCTATGGGGCTCCCAAACCTACATGGAGACCAATGACAACCCTCATGGTATGTCAAAGGTCTATCCCTAGGTTATCATGAGGATGTGTGCTTGGAACCCATCACACGTTGTGGAGGCATTTAGTTGGGACACTATTAAAATAGCACTTTAAGCCCCTTGCCGATTGCCTCAAAGAAACACTTACCTATTTGAGGAGTCATAATGATTTTCTAATAATTTCTCAATTCTTGAAAAATTCTAATCTTAGGAGGGCGTGTGCTTGCGACACTGGGCATGCTCCCTAACATGCACGCGTTGGACTGCTTGGGGCCAAACTCCAAGGCATGTTGGGGCGCCAAATCACTTGACTTGGAATCTGATGCCACACCCGCATATGGCACTTCCAAAGGCATAAACTGAGCACAACAAAGGCCACCACAAATGCAAGCGTCACGATATTGGACTTGAAAGTGTCAACTCATGACACCATTCCATCTAAGCCATTCACTTGTGTCGGGCATGCATGAGAACCACACAAATTGTTAAGTGTACATGTCTAAGGGTAGCTATGTCATTTTATTATCTAGTTTTATATTATAAATACATGTGTAAGAGGGGAGAACCCTAATTGATCCCATTGTTAATACAACATTAGTTTTTCTCTCTCTCATTCTTCTTCTTCTTCTCTCATATGTAAATCTAACATGGTATTAGAGCTACATCTTCCTCGAAGATTGTGTTCTCCTCCTGCTCTTCTTTTCTCGTTTTTTCTATTAAAAAAAAAAAAATCTTCCGTGTTCGAAATTTAATGGGCTTTCTCCCCATGATTTTATTTTAATTTTTTGTTAATTATTTGGTAGTTTTTCCAATTCTTGTTGATTTTTTGCGAAAACTGGCTATTTTTCGGAATATGTTGCTGGAGTCCTTTTAGGGCTATTTTTTTTTTCGTCTCTTTTTTCTCTTCCCCTGGGAGCTGACTGGGACTTCTGAGGGGGCTCAAGTTCTTGTTTTGAAGGATTGGTGAGGTTTCTCTTGGTTTTTGTTCATTTTTTGGCCTCCCTTGCTGCATTTTGGCTCTGGTACTGCTTATAAAGGTACCTTGTTTTGTCTGAGTTAGTTTTTTGGCTTTGTTTTTGGATTCCTGGACTGTTATTTGTTGTGTGGATTGATTTTCAATGGCTAGAGTTGAGGATAAAGACCCTAAGTTTAGTGAAGAGGGTGTAATGCATCGTGTTTTGACCCTTAATGATAGTCTCTCTCTTCAAATCAGTCCTGTGAAACTTGATGGCTCCGACTACCTGATTTGGTCTCGTTATTGTAGCCTTGCTATTGCTGCTCGGCGTTTTATTGGCAACATTACCGGTGATCTTCCCCAACCTGCTAATGATGCCACTTTGCATACTCAATTGGTTTCTAAGAATGCTTTGGTTATGACTTGGCTCATTAACTCTATGCAGCCTACCATTAGTCTGTATTTTCTTCTCCTAGGTATTGCTCATAAGATATGGATCACTGCCTCACAGATTTATTCTCAACAGGGTAATGATGCACATGCATACGAGTTGAGAAAGAAGCTTCGGGGTTTGGATCAGAAGGATAGGTCACTTGCGATGTACTATGCTGAGTTAAGTAGCTTGTGGCAGGAACTGGATTATTATCAGAGTTTTCAGGCTGTGTGTTCCAAGAATGCCATTTTATTTCAGCATACTATGGAGAAAGAGAGTGTGCATGACTTCCTTGCTGGCCTTAACTTAGAATATGATCAGATTTGCGTTCAAGTGTTGGGGCGTTCTCCTTTTCCCACCTTATGCGAGGCCTATGCTCTTGTTCAGCAAGAGGAAAGTCAATGTAGTGATATGGTTCATTCCTTTGTTCAAGATCGTTCTGTTTTGGCTGTTGCTCCATCCACCCGTGATCCTAAGCCTAGTCTAGTTCCGTTTGTTGGTATGGGCCTCTTGGTTGATCAGGATCGTTTAAAGTGTGATTATTGTGGGAAAGATTGACATGATCGCGAGCATTGTTGGAAATTGAATGGTCGCCCTACTCAGGGTTGTGGTTGTGATAGTACAGCTCGTCCACAAGCGCGTGTCTGAGATTGCTACTAGTACCTCTGGGGAGCCCAGTTCTCTCTCCCAGTTTGCGTTACACACTCTTCGGTGCTTAATGGTTCTTCTTGATTCTCCATCTACCACAGTTCCTTCCTCTTCTGCTTCTTTCAATTTTGCCCACACAGGTATTCCTACTAATGCCCTTAGTATCTCCTAGTCGCCTTCTTGGATTATTGATTCCGGTGCTATTGATCACATGACAGGTGCCTCTAGTCTTTTCTATTCTTATTCTCCTTGTTTTGGGCGGGATAAGATTAGAGTGGCTGATGGCACTTTATCTTCTGTCTTTGGCAAGGGTTTTATTCATTGCTCATCTTTACTTTCTTTCTTCTGTGCTTCATGTTCCTAATTTTTCTACCAATTTACTTTCTGTGAGTAACCTTACTACTTGCTCTGTGACATTTTTTCCTACTCATTGTGTCTTTCAGGAACTGGCTACGTGGAAAACGATCGGCAGTGGTAGAGCACATGGTGGGCTGTACTTTCTGGATGTTCCTCACACATTACCGTTATCCTCCACTCAGGCTCTTCAGTGCATTATTGGCTTTTCTCTCCATTTCCTTCATCAGTGGCATCATCGTTTGGGTCATCCGTCCTATAGTATTTTAGAAGGCTTTTTTCTTAATTAGTTTGAGATTGTTTTAGGAATAATTTTGTTTGTGATGCTTATGAACTTACTAAACATAAACATACTTGTTATACTTAATTTAATAAAAGAAATACTTTTCCTTTTATGCTTGTTCATACTAATGTGTGGAGACCTTTCCTTTCCCTTGTGGTGTCTACTTTTGGATATCGTTGGTTTGTCACTTTTATTGATTGTTATTTCCGTGTGACTTGAGTTTATTGCTTTGAACTAAAAGTGAGGATTTTTTTTTTGAACTAAAAGTGAGGATTTTTTTTTTTCTTCTTGTTTTTGCCTTTTTCCTGAAATGGTAAGCAATCTCTTTAATGCTACCGTTAAAATTCTGCACAGTGATAATGGGACTGCATATGTTGATGGTGATTTCCGGGCATACCTTGAGTAGCATGACATTCTTTACCAAACCAGTTGTGTTGGTACTCCTCAGCAGAATGGAGTTGTCGAGAGCAAGAATGGCAATCTTTTTGAAGTTGCTCGTTTTCTCTTGTTTACCATGAATGTCCCCAAGTTTTTTTGGGGTGATGTTGTTCTTATTGCTGCTTATCTCATTAACCGTATGCCTTCTAGTGTCCTCCAATTCCAAATTCCTTTTGCACTTCTTCCTGTAACTAATGTAGGCCGAAAGGTACCGCATTGAGGCCACTTAAGTTACATTTATATTCTTTGAATTATGATTATTTGGCGAATATGATGTGTTTTGTGTACTTATGCAGATTTGGCAAGTAACACACATATTCAAGCGAAAAGTGGCACAAAAGCAGATTCTCTGCTTAAGTAACGAAATTTCACAACCTGCCATCTCACAGCTCGTGTGGCCAGACTTCATCGCTCGAGTGGAGAATGTGGGCGCTTGAGCAGTCAACCTAGGGACACGTGTGCGGAATTTTGATTTTGTTTCGCTGAGAATAAAAGAAGGAAAAATGGGTTGGAAGAGGGTTCTAAAATTTTTCAAAAACATAAGAGGGCTAGGGTTTGAAGAGAAGGGGTTTCAAGCTTCAAGAATATCTTCCATGGTGGTTTCCTCTTCCTCTACCTCTTCCCAGTTCTGCATGAGTGGCTAGTTCTTCTATTTTTAGGGTTTTGATGAAATCTTAGCCAAGTAAATAGGGGTTTCTCTTTGGCTTTCATTGTTGTAATGGTTTGAACAAGTTGTATGGTGTTCAAGAAGTTTTTAAATATATTTTTCATTATTTTCTTCAAGTATTCTACTTTCTGTGATTGTTGAATGCTTTCCCTGCAATGATTTTCTATTCTTTCATATTCAAGGTATGAGACGAGCCATATTACGAGGGATAAGTCGTGTTGGTATCCTAACTTAGAGTGAACGAATTGTGTTACTTGAGATGGTTCGTGTCTCTACATTGAACATGATAATTCTCTTGATCAATGCTTCGACCTTGTAGTTGTGAAGTATTATTTGGTTCGAACCATAACACAATTGATTTCCAATTTGAGACCTAATTTATGAAACTAATGGTGAAATTCGTAACCCTAGGTTTTTTGCAAAATCACTATCTTCAACTTCAATTTTAATTGTTAGTGTAATCTTTTATTTTCTTTTAATTATTATTAGTCTATGAACCATCATCTTGTTGACCAAAATTAATTTAGGAATTTAACAATTAAATTAGTTTAATTTCACATTTGTCCATGTGGATCGATACCTAGACTTACCATTATTCTAAGGAATTTGGTACAGTTTAGTGTTTATTTTGTGTGTGTAAAACGATCCATCAATGACTTATCCCACATCTTCTCTTCCTTCTCGGGTTTTTGCGTGTGTCTATTTTGTTCATTTGCAACCTCGAACTCGTGGGAAGCTTGATTCTAGAGCTGTGCATTGTGCCTTTCTTGGCTATTTTGTTACTCGAAAGGGTTACAAATGCTATGATCCTCACACTCACAAGTTGTATGTTAATATGGATGTTACCTTTCGTGAATCTGAGCTTTTTTTTACTTCCTCTCCACCATCTCTTTAGGGGGAAAGTGTTATTGATGAGATTGCGGATGAGATGATTTCATATTAGCATGAGTTATCTTTTTTTATTCCTAGTCAACGGGTTGTTATTTGTGATGAGGGGGAGCCTGAGAGTGGTTTTGGTAATGAGCCTAACATCGGGGGTTGTTTGGATAGGGTGGATCTTAAGACTTGTTCACGGCGTCAGAAAGAGTAGCCATCCCTTGTGCCACCAAGTCAATCATTATCTCTTGTGCTGGTTCCAGATCTTGTTTCCATTGATTCTATAGGTAATGCACCTTATTCTATTTCTTCACAAGTAGTTAATAGTCCTGTTGTTGATGATTTGAGTCTTCTTATTGCTCTTAAAATGGAGGTTAGGGCTTGTAAACATCCTGTAACGACCCCAAAATGCGTATAAGAAATTATCTTTATTTACCTATGGGTTAATGTGCTTCAAATTAATTATATCTGTTCGAATTAAGGAATTATCTGTTGAGTTATGATTTTAAAATTGAAATTGCCGACCTTTATGGGTTCAGAAATCAAAATTGAGTACTTGTATATGTTAATGGGAATTTTTAGAGCTATTTAGAAAAATTAATTGGAAATTTATTTCGTCTGATTCGCTAAGGTGTGTTTGGGTGGTTAACTTTGTACTATAAATTGAAGGCCATAGAGGCTTCAGAAACCAAAACGGACTATATAGTTATGATCAGCATAATTTTTAGAGTCATCTGGGAAGTTTAATTAGAATTTGATTTCGTACAATTCGTAAGGGCGTGTTTGGCTCTCCCTAATTGTGATAAGCTTATATATATATATATATATAAGTGATATACAAGTGAACTCATCATCTTTGAAGCCAAAAACATCTAAGGGAGAGGGAGAGGACCGTGAGAGAGGGAGAGAGAGAGGGTAAGAGAGACAGCTTTTCTAGGAGATAGAGAGAGCTCAACATTCATGGGGGTTTGAAGATAATTGAAGAGAATTGAAGAGAGAGGAAGAAGATCAACCATGAAGCATGGGAAAATTGAAGAGATTAAGGGGAAAAACAAGGATTTAGGTTAAGGTATGTAGCTTTAATTATTATCTTTGTAGATAACTTATTTACCACAAGGAATCAAGGATTAAATGGAAGATTTAATATATAAATGAATTAGAGTTTTGGGTTATGAATGAAATGAGCTCTCTTCATGAAATTGAACCTTGATTCCTTAGAGTTGCTTTATTGAAGGGTTAAATTCATTATATTTGCTTATCTTGAGGTTGATTATGAGAAGTTGAGCCCCAATCTTGAGGTTTTGCATGGTTAATTATATACAAATAAAGATCTATGTGAATATGGAAGAAGAAGTCTTGGAAAGAACTAAATGAAGAGATTAATCTTCCCTACTTGAAGATTCATTATATTTTTGATGTTTTGATTTAGGAAACAATCATAATCTCATATTTTCCATTAGTTTTACATGTTTTTCGGTGATTAGAATTGGAATCAAGCTTAGGAAATGGAAAAACAAAGGTTAGAGCAAACAAACATTTTCGGACAGTGGAAATTGCCCAGAGCCGCACGTGCGGCAGTCCCCTTCCAGCACCAAAAATGAATCTGCCAAAAAAGCACGTCGTCCCGTAGGTGCGGCCCAATTCCCGCAGGTGCGGGAAAGCTCTGTTCAGCCAACTTCAAAGAAGCATATCTCTTGCATCCGGACTTCGGTTTAGGTGATTCTTGAGCCTAAATTCAAGCCCCGGAAGTCTAGTTTCCAACGGTGGTGGTCTCACTCCGAGATTCTTAAAACACAAATAGATATGCCCAAATTAGTGAAGATGGTTCACTTTCTGTCTACTGGTTTTATACCATTCCTTCTTCTAAACCATTTTCCTTTCGATTGCTCCTATTTTCCTAGACACTGATTATGACCTATTGAGGACTAATGAGTTTAGAACCACCAAGGCTAATTGATTAAAGAACAAGAAAGAGATTGGTTATATTCTCACATTATGCTAAGTGAAGTGTGTTTGTTGCTCAGCGAGGACACCGTCCCATTGCTACTGGAAGCCCATCACTGTGAGTAATAGTAGTGTAACGAAATGTTTTACTTACTTTCTTGTGACCATGATTTATATATCGTAGTTTGTGAATCGCATGCACTCTTGTCATTGTGCTTTGTTTGAATTAATGGATATGATTGAACGGTAGCATTGATATGGACCTAAGGTTGTTTTGTTCTGTAATAAATGTGGGCCTGAGGCCGTTCTATATTAAATGTGGGCCCGAGGCCATTCTGTATTACATGTGGGCCCGAGGCCGTTCCGAAATATGGTTATGAATAGGACCTTTGTATGGTCTGATATATGTGTATTTATATTCTCTAAGGCTATGCTCATTCACCTAACCTCCTTACATTGCTATTATTCACTGAGCCTTGCTCACTCCATTTTCTTTATGTATATTTATGTAGGTGAGTCATCGGGGTTTAACACTAGAGTTGTATTGAGGTCCACCTGTCTGCCAAGCTGTCTGGGGTACGCCTCCGCGTTAAGGCCTTAATTGTGTATTGGGAGTTTATGTAATTTATTGAATCTTATGTAAGTGTGTGTGTGAGATCTGTATAATTATGTGATTATTGTAAATATGGAAGCGTCTTTAAATGCTTAAATTAACCTAAATTTTCATGTATGCACGAGCTCAATGGGCATTTTATCTATGTTGGTATTTGCTTCCGCTTAAGGCCCCGTATTTGAATAAATTTTATTTTAAGGTTTTGTTTTGAAGCCTAACCATAGGCTGGTCATGGACCAAACTTTTAGGGGCAAGTTTGGATTGTGACACATCCTATTTCTAAATTTGTATCCTATGATTTATTGTCTCCTATATATTGTTCTTTTGTTTTGTCTTTGTCTTTTGTGTGTATCCCACAAGGTTGGAAAGAAGTTGTTAATGATCCTAATTGGAATGAGCTATGGTAGAAGAGATGCAAGCCCTAAGCAAGAATAATACCTGGGAGTTGGTTTCTCTTCTAAGTGGAAAAAAGCCAGTGGGGTGTTAGTGGGTGTTCACCATTAAGCAGAAAGCCGATGGGACAATTGAACGGTACAAAGCAAGACTAGTGGTCAAGGGATTTACCTAGACATGAAATTGATTATCAAGAAACCTTCACTTCGAGCCATTCTTTCATGTGCAGCTAACCTGAGGTGGCCTTTACAACAACTAGATGTGAAGAATGCCTTTCTTCATGGGAATTTAGATAAGGTTTATATGGATGTGCCCCCAAGATTCTCCTCTTAGTCTACAGTTGGGAAAGTTTACAAGTTGAAGAAAGCTTTATATGGTTTGAAACAATCTCCTCGGGCTTGATTTGATAGATTTCTGAAAGTAATGTTGAGGTTTGGGTATAAGCAAAGTAATGCAGATCATACCATGTTTGTCAAACACAATGCACATAATGTAACTGTCCTTATTGTATATATGAATGATATAGTCGTGACAGGGAATGATGAGGAGGATGTGACACATCTGAAGATACAGTTGGCCAAGGAGTTTGAGATCAAAGATCTTGGTCTATTGAGATACTTTCTTGGGATTTAAGTTTCCAGATCTGATAAAGGCATCTTTATTTCTCAAAGGAAGTACATTATAGGTCTTCTTGCAGAAATAGGCATGTTAGGCTGTAAACCAGCTGATTCACCTATTGAGGTTAATCATCATCTTTGCAATGTTGTTGGTAACTCGGTGGAGAAGGAAAGGCACCAAAGATTTGTGGGACGACTCATATATCTATCCTACACTCAGCTGGATATTGCCTATGCAGCTAGCATTGCAAGTTAGTTTATGCATGATCCTCGTGCAACACATTTGGAGGCTTTGTAGTGCATCTTGAGATATCTTAAATCTGCCCTGGGAAAAGGACTTTTATTTTCTAATCATGGGCACTTGAAGTTGGAGGCATTTGCTGATGCTGATTGGGCAGGTTCTGTAGATGACAGAAGGTCTATAACATGATTCTAGTTTAGACCAGACTCATTTCTTGCTTTTGAATTCAGGAATCCATGTCCTTAACTATTGTTCATTCCATTTTCATCTTGTTGTTAGTTGAGTTTGGTTGTTTAGGAGTTATTGTTGCGTTTGGAACAAGTTGGGGGTTAGTTTTTTTCAAAGAGTTGCTGTCTAGTTTTCTTCTTATTCACTCGACCGGTCTTTCTTGCGCTCGAGCGGTCTTTTACGGTCTGTAAAACTTCTGGAAATAAAGAGTATCTTCACTCGAGCGGTATTTCTTGTGTTCGAGCTGTCTTTTACAGGTCTGAGCTTTTGGGGGGGTGTCGTTGTGCACTCGAGCTATGTTTTTGGTCACTCGAGCAGTGTCACTTATTGTGTCTAAAGCTCGAGCGGTGTTTTGGTCGCTCGAGCAGTTTGTGCGTATATCAGTTTGAAGAAAGGGCTTTTTGAATCACTTTTCATTTCCCCCCCTCTCTCTCTCTCTCTAAAACATTTCAAAATCCTAGTTCTTCACTAGTTCTCTCTAGTTCTTGCTTAAAACCTCAAATATACCCTTACCTATTGATTTCTCCACCATAACTCTTTGGAGAAAAATGTAGAGCTCATCTAAATCTTCGTCCTAATAAGAGAGAATCTCGTTTTCGGCTCCGCCAAACTTCAACCCTTGCCTTCTCTTGTCTTCTAATCGTAAGGTAGGGATTTCTTCAACCTTTGGTATGACTTTTACCTTAGTTATTTGCTTATTGAAAGAATCTTGTGATTTGAAGATTTTGGGTTAAACGTAGGGTTGGATTTTTGAAATGTGAAAGAGGGGTTTTCAAATAGGTTCTTGAGAAAGAGATTGGGGATGTGCTTATGGTTGAGATATGTTAAAACGGTGGATTTCCTTAAAATTGATTTTGAAAGTAAAATTAAGCATGTTGGGTTTGTGAAAAATTAAGCATTTGATTTGTTGTAAAATTATGGATATTTGGTTTGTGAAAAAAAATGGAAAATCATGTTGGGTTTTGAAGGAATGAAACGAATATGTATGTCGATGAGGATGGTAGAATTGGATATATAATATCACTGCCATTTTGAAAATGAAGAGATTATTTCTTTTGTTGGAAATTATCTGTTGAATAGAAATATCTATTTTGGGCTATTAGTGCATAATGGCTTTGATTGTTGTAGAAATTATATGAGGATTAGGTAAATTGAAACTAATTACTCATACATCTTGTATTGAACATTGTTTTCTACTTAAACATTGAAAATGTTTTTTTTTTTTTTTGAGAAAAATGGGTTAATACTTTGGTAAATCTGGTTAGGGGGTGTGGTTGTGGTTATTATGTTGGCTTGTGCGTCCTCGGTGAAAGTTCAAAAACCTGTCCGGTTAGTACTGATAAAATGGCTTTGGTAGTGCTTATATAGCCCACTGGCAGACACATATCTAGAGATTCTCAATGTTTTGTATCCACTATCATATTTTTTGATATAAAAGGTTATTTTTATGAATTGATTTATAATCTGGCATTGCATTGTTTTGAGATGGAAAATGTAAAATGGTTGACAATTGGCATGCATATGCATCCACCTTATGACTTCATTAAAATTCATATATTGTGTTAAAATATCTTTATTGGGCTTTAGCTCACTCTATGTGAAAAACAATTTTTAGGTGCTGATGATATGCCTACTAATGGCCTTGAATAGAGTCGAGTGGAGAAGAAGGATTCATATAGCTGACCCTAGTTGATGGGACTTAAGGCTTGGTTTGGTTTGATAATATGTTTTCATCAAGGACATAGCTTAGAAGGACTAGCTTTCGTTTGTTTATTTGATGTAATTATTTTTGTACAAGTCTTGGGTTTTAATTGTATTGAGTTGAACTCATTTTGATGTATTAAAGTATCGACTTAGAAAGATGTAGCCATTAGGGCATATAATTACTAGGGTTTTCTTTTATTTCAATCTTTATACACATGTCATATGCTATATATTCATGATCTAGAATTATGAATGTATACACACATATGTCATCTTTTGTATGATCGAGGATTATGAATGGAATATAAAATATGATTTTATTGATCAATTGTAAAGAATATTGTGAGATGTGTTATTGTTATTATTTTGGGGCATTATAGTCTACATCTGGTTATTGCACTTTTGTAGGGGGTAATTTAGTCACTTGGCATAGTAAGAAACAGACAATGGTGTATCGGTCTGGTGCAGTGGCAAAATACCGAACTATGACACATGGTACTTGTGGACTCATGTGGCTTCAGTCCTTGTTGGGTGAGACAGGAATTGTTTGTGGTGTGATCTTATGATTTCGTACTGTAACAACAAAGTTGCCATCAGTATTGCTTACAATCCTATTTAACATGACAGGACCAAGCATATTGAGAATACCTGATACTTTATTAAGAAGAAAATGAATAAGGGTTTGATATGTATGGCTTTTGTGAAATAGGAAGATCAATTGGCTGATGTGTTTACTAAAAGTCTTAGTAGTAAGATTTTTTATCCAATTTGTTGCAAGTTGGGCATGAGAAATATATGAGAAATATATTTGTACCAACTTACGGGGGAATGTTAAGTGTTAGTGTCTAAAGGTAGTTGCCTCATTTTATTCTCTAGTCTTATATTGTAAATACATGTGTAAGAGAAGAGAACCCTAATTGATTCCATTGTTAATACATCAGTCCCTCTCTCTCTCTCTCTCTCTCATATGTAAATCTAACACAAATGAATGGTTCACATACATTTGTGGCAATATAGTAGGTGACACTAAATAATTTTTGCACTCACAAAAGAAGCATGTTTGTTGTGTGTGTGTGTGTGTGAGAGAGAGAGAGAGAGAGAGAGATCTCATACTGGGTAGGTTTAGTCTCTTCATCACTGGTTTAGTCTCTTCATCTAACTGGCAACAAAACCTATCCAGTATGAGATGTACCTCTACAAGACCATGATCTCCTGACAAAGGTACCTCAATGTTGTTTTTTGAGTCGTGTTTATGCCTTCTAACAATCTAATTCACATTAGGCCTTGGATCATCATGGTTCCATATACTGTAAAAGAATACAAACAGTCAAATTGACAACAAAAGATTGAAAACAAAAAAATTACTCAACGATAAATTGACTCAATGGAAAATCATTGAGTCTACGTGTATTTTTGTGTCTCCATGTTGGGAAACTTGAGGGATGATTCATAGTCAAAACACTAGCACAGAAAACAGAAACAATGGAAGATTGAAAACAGAGATTAAAAAAGAAAAAGGAAAAAAGAAAGGAAAAAAGAAGCAGCTTGAGTCAATCAATGGTTTGTGTCTACTTTGAGGATGTCATGTGAAGTGCCACTAGAGATGCATATGCACCATCAATGATCTTCATGAGCACATCATGTGTTCCTTTCTCTGCAATCACCCCATTCTTCACAACGGCTATTACATCAGCACATCTAATGGTGGTGAGCCGGTGAGCAACAACAATGGTAGTTCTACTCACCATCACTCTGTCCAATGCATCTTGTACCACACGCTCTGATTCTGCATCTAACGCACTCGTTGCTTCGTCAGGTAAGAGGATCTTAGGGTCTTTCACTATTGCCCTTGCAATGGCTATCCGTTGCTTCTGACCGCCCGATAATTGAACCCCTCTCTCCCCGACATTGGTGTCATAGCCATGTGGCAATGCTGATATGAAGTTGTGTGCATTTGCTGCTTTCGCGGCTGCAATGATCTCTTCTTCAGCAGCTTCTCCTTGCTTCCCATAAGCTATGTTAGTCCAGATCGTTTCATTGGAAAGTACTGGTTCTTGACTTACCAACCCCATTTGTTGCCTTAACCAGCTCAGTTTGAGCTTTTGGATCTCCACTCCATCTAGAAATATATGGCCGGACTCGGGATCATAGAACCTCTCAATTAGGCTTATTACGGTGGACTTTCCGCTACCACTTTCCCCAACAAGAGCAACAGTCAGTGATAAAATTTTTGGCTTAGCAAAATTGAGCAAAAATTATTGAAGAACAAAGAGGCTGTGCTTGTGCCTGGTTATTACCTTTCCAGAAGGAATGGTTAAGCATAAATCTCTGAAAATTTGAACATCGGGTCGTGTTGGGTATTTGAAACTGACATGTTTGAACTCAATATCTCCATTTATGGTTGCCAGGGTTGTGCCTTCATTGCTGCTTGAATCAATCTTGGGCTTGCTGTCAATAATTTCAAAGATAGAAGCAGCAGAGTCCTTAGCTTTGTTGGTGTCTGGGGCTAAAGCAGTGGTTTGGGAAACACCCATTGCTGAAATTGTCAAAGCAAAGAAAACCTGCAAAACCATTTGTTTGGAAGCGGAGAAAATGTGAAATTAGAAAGTGAAGGTTTAAAAAAATAAACAAACCACTACGAATTTGTTTTATACCTTGAAAACTTCCCCAAAAGTAGCTTTCCCATGTTGCACTAGAACAGCTCCAATGTAGAAACAGAAGGCATTTGTGCAGTAGAGTGCAAAAAGACTAGATCCAAAGCCAATACCACTCACAAGTCCAATCCTAACTCCATGTTTCATGGGGGCCTCACATTTGTTTTTATACATTTCTATCACTTTCTTTTCAGCACAAAATGATGCAACTGTTCTAATGCTGCCCACGGCATCGTTTGCAACTTGGCTTGCATCTTCATACATCACCTACAGACATTTACAAAAATCTAACTTGATTAGAATGTGATAAAGATTAATCCCCTCAAAATCCACCCCTTCTCATTTAAATGTCTGCTATACACTTATGCTTAGGGCTATAAATGAGTCAAATCAAGTAGTCAGTTCTTTAATGTTGACTTGAAAACTTAACAAGTTTCAAATTTTGTTCAAGTTTAGCTTATTTACCTTTCGAGCCAATCTCAAACGAGCTTTACTCGAGTTGAGCTCGAATAGCTTGATTTTCATATAATGTATATGACCTTCTCGAATAGAATTTGAGATAAATGTGCTCAAATTTAGCTTGTTACATAACAAGTCAATTTCAAACGTTGAGTTTGAGTAGTTTGGTTTGTTTTACAGTCCTAACTGTGCTAAAATGGCTCTGGCCATAACTTAGGATAATGGACTGACCTTGGCATCTTCAATGAACCCTTTTAAGAATTTAATTTGAAAGAATCCTTGCAATCCCACCAAGGGCAACACAGATAGAATTATGAGTGCCAACATCCAATTAGCTGTGAATGATATGACAAGCCCTGCTATAATTGTTGTTATGTTCTGTACAATTTGGGCCAATGAATCACCCACAAGACTCCTCACTGTTGAAGCATCAGTAGACAACCTTGCTCCAACTGCACCACTGAAATGAATTCAAAACTTTCAGGTGAAAAGGCCTTTTGAAATAGAGAACATTTGATCAATCAAAAGTACTAATTACTAAAACACACCTTGAATTTTTAGGGTTATCAAACCAACTGATTTCTTGATGGACAGCCTTCTCAAACATCAAGGCGCGAATTTGCATTATCAACCTACCACCTGCAATTCCAAAGAAGTAATTCTGCACTGGTGCGACAAACAGAATAACAACACCGAGTCCCACAAACATAAGTGCCCAAAACCTTGAGTCCTTTCTTAGCTCATCGTGTGGTTCATAGAAAATTTTAATAGCTGTTGAAAGTAGGAGTCCAAATATAGGGAAGGTTACACCATTAATGCCTGCAGCAATGGATCCAAGCAGCAAAACCAGCAACTCTGGTTTGTTTAGGTTCATTAGGCGTTTAATGGACACTTGGCGGCGTTTCTTATCATCTGTCTCACTTCTTTTACTACTCTCCTCTCCTTCTATATCTGTTTGGATTCTGTTAAGTGTTAGGGGTAGTTTGGTCTTTATGTATTATTCTTATTAGTATAAGTAGTTGTGTGTAGGGAGCTTCTATATACACACACCTAATCCCCTCTATACACACACTTAATGATATTTAATTTTATTACAATTTTATCCCTAAATAAAATTACTATTTTAGACATCAACCAAATTCATCTCAATGCACACATCCTGACTTCACGTTCATCTCAATGTATACATCCAAACTTCACGTTGAAACTGAAGCTTCAACCTTCCTTATTCATAGTTTCTTCCTCATTCATCATTGATATGGAGGATTTATCTTCTGAAAATCAGCAAATAAGTGTTTATGAGAAACATAGCGAAGGAAATGCGAGTTTCTTTTTCTTTTTTTTTTTCAGCGTCGTTCGGATAACCAGAGCCGAATTGTGTTATTTGGTTCGGAAATCTACTACCGAAATAATTATTTATTTTCGGAAGTTGTTGTCCGAACAAACTAATAAATTTCGGAAGTTGTTGTCCGAACCAATTATTTAATTTCGGAAGTTGTTGTCCGAACAAAGTTAACTTTTACAACATTCAACTTCCGAAAGTTGAAAATAAATTCGGACAACTACTTCCGAATGAAGTAAAAAAAAAAAAAATTCATTTTATATTCCAAATTTGCAAACTGCGTACCAAATTTATAGTTTCGAATTGCAAATTAATCTTTATAATGCCATTAAAAATTTGTAATGTTATACAAAACATGTAGGAATATGTGTCAACTCAAGGAAGTCAGGTTTGCGCGGATTTTGTGTTGGATTACACTACTCAATTCACAACTGAACAGGTTCAGTCTACGAAATTATAACGATTATGTTTCGAATTGCTCAACAAATGTAAATGTTTGATAATAA